CATGAATTGAGTTTACCCTTCAACTTAGAACCCAGCCTGGCTACACTATTGGTAGCCATTATACCTCCTAGACTATAGCCTATCATACTCACTGGTAGTAGACTACTACTACTACCAGTAACAACATCATGACATATATTGATAACTTGTTCAACATCACTAACCCTAGATCCACAAGGCTCTTCCTCAGGTCCACCTACCACTGTCGTACCACACGCCCCTCTACTTATCAAACAACATACAGCATACCCTTGGGAGGTGGCCTTCTCTATGAGATCACATACATAACTCTCTGTAGAGCTACCATTAATACCAGCTAAAACAATGACTATACCCTTTACATTGCCTGTAGGAGGAGGAAGACACCAATCTAATGCCACAGATTGTCCATCGATAGTGTACATCCATCTCCTCTTGAGATTAGGCTTCTTATAACGATAAGTAAGATAAGGTATAGCAGTAGCCAGATGACCATTGATAGCAGCATATGGTGTTGGCTTGAAGGCTCTTGCTCTAGACTCTAGCAGCTCTTCTATTAGTTTACCAAACTGGGTGCCTTCAGTGTGGCCCTCTATACCTGGTGTAGCTTTACCATTAGGACGATATCTATCACCAGTAACCACCAAATAAGTAGCTAAAACTAGACATACTATAAGGGCTGGGAGAGTAAAGGGCCTCATTAGTATTGGTGCTAACCCCAATAGAGGAATGATTAACCATCGACACGCCTCTATACACAGTCTCAAGAAGGATATTATAACCCACCAAGGCCGTGGTCGTCGCCTTCGTGGATCTTGTTTGATAGTAGGACTACCTTGGGAAGTTGAATGAGTGTTAGCAGATACAGCATCCCAGAACTTGGTTACTGACATGTTGGGTCTCGATCGACTACTACCTTCTGATGATGAGGATGAGGACCGTCGAGGCGGCATTGATGATGAAGGCGTCGATGGTGGCAAAACTACTATGATACATTCTAGATGAGATAACACAATAACACATATATTAATAACCGTACTAGATACAGTCAATGAGAACATAAATGAGTACATCAATCAGCATACTTATCAGCGACAACTGTCTCAGCAAAATCAAGGGCCGTATTAGATATCCATCCGAAGCCCTGAGTCCATGGTAACCATCCCTGAGGCCAACCAACATGACCACCAGTAGGGGTAATGACTGCATACAGATATGGAGACCTATTACTACTATCCTTAAACCTTGGACCAGCTGAATCAACATGTATAACAGGATCATCTACAGCATGTATGATGAGGGTTGGTACGGCAATATCTTCACATCTACCATCATC